ATTGTACCTCCATTAAGGATATCTGCCCATCACCCCGTGGTCCTGGGTTCAAGTCCAGGCTCTGCCAGTGTGACCCTTCTCTTCTCCACACTTTGTTTTTTTCCCATTTAAAAAAACCTTTTGGTTTTGAGGTCTCGTAGATTCACGGGGAGTTGTAAGGTTGGCCCACATTTTAAATGAGGTGTTCAAACTGGATGGCCCCTCCAGCCCTGACAGGCCATGGCTCAGGGCGTAATGCAGTGCGCAGTGCTGGGCCCAGCCCTGACTTGTGTTCCTTTCTCATCTGCTTTGTTAGACAGCCTGACGCTGGTGAGCAGGGCTGGAACTCTGTGTAACTGCTGTTTGCTTGGGGCTCCCTTCAAAGAGGGTTTGAGTCTGTGCCCTGACGTTACTTCTCTTGGGGACATCCAGGACTCTGACCTGCTTCCTTTGTCCGGATTTTGCTGGAGGGCCCACTGGGCTCCCCAGTGCCCAGGATGTTGCTGGCTGTGACCCGGAACTCATAGTCCATCCAGGGCGTGAGGCCCAGCACCTGGGCCGTCTCTGCGTTGCCCTCAATGTTAGCGGGATCTGCAAGGCACCAAGGAGTCAGTGTTCCGGCATCTGCTTACTGGTCTGGATGGAGAGGGCAGGGACTGGGCCTGTACCCAGCTCTCATGGTGGCGCCTGACACACACTAAGCGCTCAACACCTCTTTCACAAATGACCAGAAAACTGGTAGTCCTCCCTGCCCTAGTCTTTGCTGGTGTTTTGCTTACTCCACACCCCGACGAATGTTGTCATTGCCCCTATAATCGTCCTGCCAATGCTTCAAGGCTGCAGACTGAGCACCGCCTCCTCCAACTCTCTCCCCACTCTCCTGCTGTCCATGTGACACTAGCTCCCCACTGGCCTGGGAGCTCCCTGCAGGCAGATGGCCCAAGCTTGTCCCTCTTTGAAGCTCCAGGCTTAGCCCCAGCCTTGTGACCCTGGCCCCCACCGCTGGCACACAGCCAGGCCTTATTAGTACTGATGGGTGTGTGGTGGTGGTGGAGGTGGCTCACACTTACTGGTACGAACTTGCTTCCACTTCCCTGCAGGTGGAGTGCGAGCTTGCAGGGTGTATTTGGCAATGGGGCTGTGGTTGTCGAAGCCACGGCTCCAGCTAAGCTGGACAGTGGTGTCGCCAATGTCCCTTACCACCACGCCTCCCGGAGGACCCGGTGGACCTGTACCAAGAGGTCAGAGCACTGTTAGTCAGAATTGGACAGCTTCAAATTTGTGCCAACCCCCTCCACGCTAGTTTGGGCAGGTGCAGTACCAATAGGGGGCAGCAGAGGGCGCTGCAAACACACACCTGCGTGGAAGGACAAGGAATGTGGGCAGTGAGTGAGGAATGATGGTGCGTGGTGGTAGCGATGTGTCCAAGGCTGGAGGGGTCACAGAGGCCCTCACATAGGGATGTGTACAGATTTCCCAGCACTGAGCTCTGAAAACTTCTGGCCTCAGGAGCGGCCGGTTAGCTCAGGTGGTTAGCGCGCAGGCTCATAACACCAAGGTTGCCGGTTCGATTCCCACATGGGCCAAGGAGCTGTGCCCTCCCCAACTAGATTGAAACAACTACTTGACTTGGAGCTGATGGGTCCTGGAAAAACACACTGTTCCCCAATGAAATTTCTTTAAAAAAAACCCATAAAACTTCTGGCCTCAGCAAAGTTCTTGGGATGTGTTTTGGAATGGGTTTTTAAAATCTTGGCTTGGGAAGAAGACTATTCTATTCATTTAGGACCTGTGAAGAACCACAGGATAAGTTTGGCTCAGTGGACTTCTGTCAGAAGCCCCTCCCCACAGCTCTCGGGGAGAGGAGGAAGTTCGGGAATGAAGGTCAGAATAGCCCTGAGGGAGTGGGGGTGGGGGTGGGGAAGCCCATCACCTCGGACCAGGACTGTGGCCTCCTTGGATGCACTGTCCACTACCGTCTGGGCCATGCAGGTGTACTTCCCGCCGTGGCGCAGCTGGGCATTCAGGATGGTCAGATCACCAACTGTCTCCTTCTGCGCACAGGGAACAGGACGGGCAGGGTCAGCGGACGTGACTCCAGCTAGTGCAGTGAGCCAAGGAGACAGACATGAAACAGGGCTCGGCGTCCCCTGCTCCATGACGTCCAGGGTACACTCTACACTTCAGCGTTCCTGTCTTTTCAATGGGAGGAATCAGCTACTCCCTACTTAGTACCGCTGGGGACTAAACAAAGCTTGTTTCACAAGACAGTCAACAATGGTCCAAGTTAATGGTGTCATTTGTGTTGAGAGACAGGATAACAAGAACAGTCTTGCTGGGGGCCTGGAATTCCAGGTTTGTCCTTAACCGCTCCTAAATGTATGGACTTCCTTCAGGTGGAAACCAGGGAATTGCCCATCTAAGGGAGGGTCGTTAGGAATCCGAGGATGAGCTTTGCCATGGTCGGCATTCCTGAGGGAAAGGCTTTGGGGGTGATGTTAAGGACATCTTGGGTCTCCGGTCTATCTAGAAGGAGGGAGAAGCCCCAGGTTCTCGGCCCCGGGCCTCACCACACTGGCCCTCCGATAGTGGCCCCCAGGCTTGTTGGAGTCGATGGGGAAGTCATCCAGGGCCCAGATGAAGGTGAGGTCCATGGTGGGGTCGTGGGAGGCATGGCACTGCAGAGTCAGGTTGTCCCCCAAGTTGATGTCAGCACTTGAGGGAGCTAGAGTGATCTTGGTTGCATCTGCCGAAAACAAAACAAAACAAAACAAAAACAAAAACAAGTTCCCGGGGTGGATGGGGTGAGAGGGTTTGTCCTAAGTTCCAGGAATGAGAAGAGGCAGCGTGGCCAAGGGTATCCTGACCTCCCAGCAGCTCCAGGAGTGTGTGGGAGGCAGGCAGGGCTAGATTCTGGATGGTGGTGAGAGGGTAGTCCCCAAGTGAAACTCGGGGTATTCTGGGGGAAACCTTCAGACTGAACTAGGAGGAATGTGGGAACACAGGGGAGGATGGCGGGGGGATGGCACCCCTCGGGTGGCTAAGCCCACCAACCGCAGTCATGCCACAGCCCTTACCTCGCACAGACAAGATGCCAGTGCTGTTGGCTTTGCCCATGAAATTCTCAGCAAAGCAGGTGTATTTGCCTTCATCCGACCGACTGATGTTTCTTATGATCAAGGTGCCATCTGGAGTTACAGTCACTCTGCAGAAAGGACAGAGCAGATCTGGCCAACTCAGGGAATACCCTGTAGTCTAGGAAGGGAGGCATCTCCAAGGAGAAGGAGGGGGGTAGGAATTGCTTGGTGAGGGGTGCGGGCTGTACCTGCTGGTGTTGACCAAAATTTCAGTGCCTTTGCTCCAGAGCACCGTGGCTTTTGGAGCTGCCCGGGGCTGACAGGGTATAATGACTTCTCCCCCTCGGGCCGCAGGGATCAGACGCTTTACAGGATTCAGCCTGAAGTCAGGGGCCAGTGCTAGAATGGAAGGGGAGTGTCGCACAGTCACCCAGGGAGTCATAACAGTACCTGCTGGCCTTGATTGAGACATCACCTGACTATGTGCTAAGCACTTTACGTACCCTCCATAGTCAATCCATGAGTGACTCTTAGCACCGCTTCTAAAATACACCCAGAACCCAGCCCCTTCTCATCACTCCACTGCTACCTCGCAGCTCCAAATCACCAAATCTCCTGCTAGGCTATTGAAAAGCCCCTAATTGGTCTTCCTGTTTCTGTACTGCCTATCTACAAACTCTTCTCCACTAGCAGTCAGGAATATCTTTTTTAAAATGTGAATCAGGAACTCAGAATGAACTCCACCTCCTCACAAGGACTCACAGCTGAGTCCCCTCCTCTGCAATCCCGTCTCGCCCCACTCTCTCCCTTACTCATTGTGCTCCAATTACCTGGGCCATTTTTGTCCTTTGAAGATGTCACTTTTTTCCCCTGCGCCTCAGGACCTTTGCACTGACTGCACATTTTGCTTGGAAATCCCTCAGATCGTCACATGGCTGTCTCCTTAACATTCAGGTCACATCCCCAAAATGTCTTCCTCAGAGACATCTTCCTTGACCATCCCATCTCACTGGCCCACCTCACCCCTACCTCTCTTCTGGATTTTCTATATTTATACTGTACTTTTTATGGCTGTCTGAAATGATTTTATTTAATTATTCGATCTTGTGTTTATTTGTCCCTCTCTCCACTGGGTTTTAAGATACTTGAAGGCAGAGGCTTATCTGAGGAGGTACTGAATAAATATTGGTTGAATGAATGAAAGAATGAACGAGTCTTTTAAGCCTCATTACAACTTGATGAGGTAGGTATCACTATGTCCATTTTACAGATGAGAAAACTGAGGTCCCATGAGCTTAAGTCACACAATAAGAATCCTAGCAGCAGCTGACACTTACTGGGCACCTGTTATGTGATGGGCAGGTCCTTCATACTTTACTTCTATCATCTCATTGAGTCCTCCCAACAGCTGTATGAGGGCAGGACTTTTGCCCACATTTTATAAATCAGTAAACTGAGACACAAAGAGATTAAGTAACTTGCCAAAGGTTACATAGCCGAAGGGGCTGGGTTAAACACAAATCTAACTGATTTAGTTTCCAATGACTTTTGCCATCTTTCCTTCACGGTAACAAACATTTAATTTGTCTGTGCCAGACAAGGAGCAAGCCAGGGACCTTTGGGAGCTCTGGGAGCTCGCAATCTAGTGTCTCATCTCCTTTCTTAAATCCCTGAGTTCTACTCAGAAGCCATAGGAAAACCGCCAGGGTGTGTTTCATGTTTAGAAATGCTGCAACTCAGCTCCTAGAGCCCTGCCTGTGTCTCCTTGGGGATGTCCCCAGCCTCCCTGGGCCTTTTACCTTGAACAGCCAGCTCGGCGCTGGCGTAGATGGTGCCATGCTTGTTCTCTGCCACACACTGGTACATGCCTGAGTCCTCCATGCTCAGCTTGGAGAACCGCAGGTCCCCGGCCAGCACCTCTACCCCTGTCTGTGCAAAAGAGCCCGGCCCAGGGCGGGGCAGGGGCGTCAGGACCAGCGGGAGGACCAGGGTGGAGGGGCCGATGGGGGTGGGTGCAGTGCAGACTCTAGGCTGCCACTCCCTCTAGGAGGGGGTTTATATGTCCAGTGCCATTTCAGGGCTGCCTTTAATTCCGGGACTCCGAGATTTCCCAGGCCTCCCTGCACATCATGATGCACACTGAAGCCAGAGGGTCGAGGTGACCCATTTGGCACCACGTAGTGTTTTTGTGTCTGCGTTGTGCCTGGACCCAGGTCTCTGGCCCCTCCAGTCAAGAGTCTATGCAGTTGACCACCCTGTGGCCATGTGCCCCTGGGTTGGAAAGAAGCACCTAGAACCACTCTAGGGCACCCTAATTGGCCCAGAGGGCCTGACGGTGGGGGGCTGGGCGGGGCGGGGGGCGATTGGGGAGTGAGGGAACCAGGTAAGCAGAAGACAGTTGGTGTGAGGGATGAAGCCCCAGGCCTCCTACCTGGGGTGCCAGCGGCTCCCCGTTCCGCAGCCAGCGCACTGTGGGCCGGGGCTTGCCGGCGGCCGCGCAGCCCCAACGCAGGCTGGAACCGATATCGGCTTCCATGTCCGAGATCACCTTGAGCCATTCGGGCTGGGCTGTGGGGAGCAAGGGAGAGAGACTGGGGATGAGCAGGGAGGAGCCTCCAGCTCATTAAATAAGCCCGGAATTGCGGGGCTGCAGTTCCGGTATCAGACAGCAGAGGGCGTCATCAGCCTTGTGGGACGGGGCGTGGTGAGAAGCAGGCTTGAGAAAGTTAGCACTTGGAGCCTGTGCCAGCGGCTGTTTTAGCAACTTCAGTAATTCTAAAGCCTTCCATGTGTTTTCCGCATCCCCGACTGAAGTTCTGAGCTGACCACAGCCCAGTGAAATTCTGGGGCCAGAGGGCTTGAGCAAGGAACTTTCCAGTTTACTCCCTGACTTCTGAGTGGACTTCCTCAGGCACAAGGGTGAAGGCGGGGAGAGGGTGTCCCAGGCTCATACCCTGCACGATGATGCGGCCCTGGACGCTGTCTCGGCCCCTGGAGTTCTCCGCCTCACACTCATAGGCGCCCTCGTCCTCGAAACTGACGTTGGGGATCTGCAGGGTGGGCTCGGCTGTGGCCCACTGCGGGGACAAGGAGCCATCCATTTTGCGCCACTTGATTCTGGGAACGGGGCTGGCAGGGGAGACAAAGCCAGAGTGGGTAGGATGAGTTAGTCAGACTCCCCCGTGCGGGCAGCTCCTGGAACTCTGACTCTCAGGCCCTCTTGAGGTGCTGGGCAGGTGGGGTTGGGGAATAGGGCAGCTGAACCCGGACCTGGGAAGGAACCCAGGGAGAGAGTAGCGGGGGAGGGAGCCACTTCTCCCAGGCTGGTTTGGAGCCCAGGCAGGAAGGAGCAAGAAGTGGGCCTCCCCTCTCCCCTGCAACAACTGTGTCACCGATTACGTCGGTCTTCAGCGGGGTCTGGACCGTGAGGCTGACTTGCCCTCCCCTCCCCCACCCGGCACTGGTCCTGTTTCCTCCTCTGGGCCTGCCCTCCCCGGCAGTGGCCTGTGACCTGGGTCTTAATGTGCCCCCTCCCCCCTCTTCAACAGGACCTTGCCTCTACTTTCCAAAGGGGCTTCAGTTATTAGTAATCTGTGAACTAAAATGGACGGAGGTATCAGTGAGTCTTAAAGAGTTAATGTATTGCCCTTCCATATGCTTTAACTATGGATTTCCTGGAAGCCCAATAACTTTCCACAAGGCGGGTGTGTGTGTGTGTGTGTGTGTGTGTGTGTGTGTGTGTGTCCAGGGCATCCTCAAATAGCAGGAGGTATTTGTGGTCATTCAGTCTACAAACATTTATTGAGCACCTGCTATTTGCTTAGCCCTGTTCCAGGGAGAGCATGATTTTTGTTGTCATTTTTAAAAAGATAACTGTTAGCCTCCACAGAACACTTACTAAATGCCAGGCACTGTTCTCAGCTCTTTATATATGTTATTTAATCCTCGTAACAACCCATATGAGGTAAGTATTATTATGTACAAATAAGGAAACTGAGGCACAGAGAGCTTAAGTAGCTTATCCAAGGTCTCTCAGCCAGCAAGTTATAGAGCTGGGATTTGAAGCAGGCAGGCTGGGCTCGGGCTGGTACACTGGGCTGTCTGCCTCCAGCCCGGGTGTTACATAAGCTGTGTGGGCCTATCATGCGTTGATGGGAGGACCCAGTGGCCCAGTATGTGCCAGGCCCTTTTATGCAGGATGCCTCACCAGAGAGTTAGTGTTTGGTCAGTGGTGGTCGCTGCTCACTGTGGGCCTGGCATCCTGCTAGACCCTGCGAGGGACACCAAGATGACCAAGTGCTGACCCTTCCTGCTCTCTCTCTCTGGGGTCACCTGTGCCCTGGCCTGTTCCCTCTCTCCTCCACCACTCACTTCCCAAATGCAAAGCACTCCAGGGTGACCTGCTGCCCCACCAGCGCATATGTCTCTGCTGGGAACCGGGCCTTGATGCTGGGCGCAAACAGCCTGGGATCTGGGGAGAGAAGGGTTTTGCAGATCAGATGCCGGGGGTCCGGAGCTCCCGTGCTAGGGTCTCAGCACAGCTCAGAGCTAACTCAGTCTTAACTCACTTTCCCCATGGGGATCTGGGGGGAAAAGCCGGAGGCCTTGCAGCAGGAGGATCCAGGGGTCCAGGCCCCGGACCCTGTGCCCCATGAGCTGCTCTTCACAAACTCTGAGGGACAAAACCCCTTTCCAACGCCCACCAACCCTTTCAGCTCTCTCCTCCCAGCCGTGCCCACCGTCCCTGACCTTCGGCAGCCAGGTTGAGCTGAGCGAACTTGCTGAAGACGCTCTTGGTGGAGAAGTCCATGTGGCTGGTGGCCAGGCAGGAGTAGTTGCCCAGGTCTGAGGCATTGGTCCGGGCAATGTACAGGTTTCCTGTGGTCTGGGACACGAAGTGACGCCCGTCCGTAGGGATGAAGTTGGGGAACTCGTTGAGAAGCCAGCGGTAGGACAGGCCTAGGATGTGGGGAGTTTGAGGACACCAGAGGATGACGGGCTAACGGGGCAACTCTGGGTGGGACCCCAACATGCTGGTGGGAATCTGTATGCCTTATCCTGAGAGAGCCCCCATGCTCTGATCTGAGGCTGAGGGGAGACCTAGGGGGAATATGCGACTTTATGCCTGCCCTCAGGGAGTGCTGTCTTAGGGAAACAGCCCCTTAAGGATCCCCTAGTCTGAAGAAGGAGGCAGGGCACCAAGCTAGAAAATTACATCCATCCAGGAAACACAGGAGCATTTAAGGCTGCGAGCTGAGGGATCGGTGATTCCAAGAGTCACTCACCACCTTTTATTCCATCCTTCCTTTGCTGAGCTGGCTAGAGCCTCTCCTGTACCCTCTGTCTAACCATGGGCCAGAGTCCCAGCTCACCTGGGTAGTGGGCAGGTGGGTTACAGGGAAACATCACCCCCCAGCCTTCATGGGTTTTCACTGGGTCTCTTTCCTCCTTGGAGAATTCCTGCAGAACTGGAAGTGAAGACCAGGCGGCGTTCAGGACCCGCTCTCTAAGCCTGGGGGCCCCTCCCCGGCTCAGCTTCCATGGGAAGTAGTCACCCGGCCTTTCTGGAAATTTTTCCCAGCCCCCTTCTTCCCTCCCCCAGAGTGTCCTGGCACCCTATGGGTCTCACAGCCGAAGCGCAGGACAGCCTCTCTGCTGACAATGGTGCCCACTGGGTTAGAAGCCAGGCACTGGTAGATGCCGGCATCCTGCGCCTTGGTGGGGTTGATGATGACCAGGTTGCCCCCCACCAGCTGGTGGCGGGAACCTGGCTCCAGCTTCATCTCAGTACCGTTCATCTTCCACCTGCAGCAGGGGCGGAAGAGGGGGCCCTCCTGAGTCCTGCCCAGCTGCACCCAGCCCAGCCACAGGACTGACGTGAGCAAAAACCTCACGGCTGCCCAGGGCCTCCCAGGACCCACCGTGGGGGGTCTCACCTATAGGTGGCAGGAGGGCTGGCCCGGGCATGGCACGCCAACGTCACCTTCTCCTCTGTGGACTCCTCTGGGAAGAGCAGACTGAGGGGCTGGTCTTCAAAGACAGGCCCAAATGTGGCTGGGGATCCCCGGGCTGAGCTCCGAGCTGCAGATGGGGACACCACCAGGGGCCTCAGGGCTTGGGCGTCAGCTGGAGCCTGGCCTTTGGGGCAGCACAGTTCAATTGGACTTCCTGCGATGATGGACATCTTCCATTTCTGCACTGTCCAATACGGTAGGCACTAGCCACTGCTATGGAGTCCTTGAAATGTGGCTAGTGCGGCTGAGTTACCCAATTCTTAATTTTATTTAATTTAAATGAATTAAAATTTGAATTTAAATAGGTTGGGCAGCCCTCCTCTGGTCAAGTTAGCTCAGCCAATCACCCATCCTACACTCAGGTGCTGAGCACCTAGTGTATACCTGGCACCAGGCTATATAGATTGTGTTGCAAGAATGAGTTAAGACACAGCCCTTTTTCCTCAAGGAGCTTGCAGTCCAGGGAGGGACAGAAAACTGCCAGTGCAGGGCGGTGAGAGCCATTGAAACAGTTCAGGTTCAAAGTGCAGGGGCCCCTCAGAGTGGAAACCGATGACACTGCCGGTGGGCTGTCAGAGGGGTCTCGTGGAAGAGAGATCTGAGATGGGCCTTGAAAGGTGCATGGGAAGTCACTGGCCAAAAGGGTGTAGAGAGAATATGTGTCCCTGGAGCCTGGTGTCCCTTCTGGGCCGGTGTGTCTCAGAGAAAGTGCCTGGTCTCAGAGCCTCTACCAGCTAACTCTTCTAGAACCCTTCTGAGCCCCAATGTCTTCACCTATGACATGAAAAGAACATGAACTTCCCTCTCAGGGTCTATGGGAGGGTTCAGCCTGGCACAAGGTGTGTGCTGAGAAAATGTCTGCTGGGCTGGGAGAGGAAGGAAGGCTTTATGGTGGGTGGATGGTGTGCAGGTTGCTTTGGGGGCATTTTTATAAAATTGCAGTGTGACAACTCCAGAAAGAGAGGCCCGGAAAAGGGAATGACTTGCCCAGGGTCACAGGGCAAGTCTGTGGCGCACACAGGTCTAGGCCCCGGTCTTCTGAATTTGCTGAGCAAATGGGTATCTCGTGTGCAAATGGAGTTTCAGGCCTGGCCCCTGCCAGGGCAGATGCCTCTCTCCTCATGCACCATTGTCCAACCTCACCAAGGCAGAGACCCCGAGGCGCAGTGGGTAGTTTCACACCTGCCTTTCCACAGGGGTGGGGAGTGGGCTCCATTCGCTGACTCATGGGGGTGCCTTTGTGGTGCCAGGTAAGGGCCAGGCCACTCCTAATCTGCTCCTACCCCTCCATACAGCTGATTTCAGGCCCTCCTTGGTGGGTCATGGGGGGTGGGATGCCCATTAACCAATTAGTGCCTCCTCTCCCAGCGCATCCAGCTGTCAGCCCTATTCCAAGGGTGGGGAGTAGGTCCCTATGCCACAGCTGAGGCCCAGCCCTGGACCCCTGGGGAGCGACGGCAGCTGTTAAGCAGCTCTCAGAATGAAGAAGGAGGCAGGGCTCCCTGAAATGGCATCCCCCATCCCCCTCCCCACCACTTATCACTACCCTTCACTGCTGCCCCAGGCCTTGGAGATGGAGGCTGGAGAGCCCCGCTTAATCCCAAGTTAATGATGGTAGTGGAGGGTAAGGACCCCTGCCCCAGCTGGGACTGCGGGAGGGGAGGGAGAGAAGGAAGGGGTGGCACAGGCAGCCAGGCTGCTGGGAACCACCTTGCACAATAGCAGCTTCCAGTAACTCTCTCTGTCTGAATGGTGGGGGTGGCTGAATGGGCCCAGGGCACACTGATGCTTTCAGACTGGCTTTCTTCCTGTAAAAGCTTTCTCCTTTACACTCAGCGATATACACACCCTCACCCACATATGCACATGTCCACACCTCTCGCCTACACGGACTTCCTTACGTGCACAAACATCACACACACATATATATACAGACCTCTCTAAGCTGCTCCAGCAGTCAGATACACACATTTGTACACACATCTGTTCCTGTGCACACACAGCTTGAATGTCCATGTGCACTTATTTGTGTACATATATCCATGCATTCATAAGAAGAAGAAGAAGGAGAAGGAGAAGGAGAAGGAGAAGGAGAAGGAGAAGGAGAAGGAGAAGGAGAAGGAGAAGGAGAAGGAGAAG